TTAAAAAAAAAAAAAAAAAAAAAAAGAGACAGATGCAAGAGAAATGAGAGTTCACAGAGTCTGACCCTGCCTGGGACTTAGCTTCATTTATGTAGAACAGCAGGGAAGAAAGGGAGTACTATACTACTTTTTTTTTTTTTTTCTTTAGCAGGACCTTAATTCCTAATGTTTGCCATTTTAGGCAAAACCTTCCAGAACTTTAGTTGCATCTAACTACTAGTCTCTCTCTGGCCACACATCCTCAAACCTCAGCGATGCTTTTCGTATCAGGGATAATTTTTACATCTGTTACATAAATGATGCATGTACAACCAAATAGCATTTAACCATGGTCAACAGTTTAACTCATACCCAAATCCTTCCAGAGGGAAATGTCTGATCATTCCTTTACTGTATGTTACAGCCCATAAATTTCCCCCAGTGCTATAAAAGCAAACTACTGTAGTTCATGTATTGAAACTTTTCCAAAGGTTTCAGGCAGGATTTGAGGAGGAGTGTTTAAGTTAAACAATATTTTTGCGGCAGAAAGCTTTGCTGCTGTTTCAAACCTCCAAGTGGACCCCCAAGACCAACATCATCTCCAAGTTTTAATATCTACCATGGAAAAAGAAACGCTGTTAATATTCTGGAATATCAAAATAACAAGAAAAAAGGTCTGCAATCAGCTACCCTGGAGAATGGCTGGAAAAGGAGATAAATGATAGAAGAAAATCAGAACTCCCCGCCCAGCGCTCTAGCGGAGTCGGGGTAACCTTTTTGGCAGGTGTGCCACAAATTAGCCCCACACCCTCCCTGAGTGCCAAGCCCCTTCCCCTGCCTGATCAGCTGCTCTGCTTTCTGCTTCCTGCCCTGATCTCCCTGCCCAATCTGCTGCTCTGTTTTCTACTTCCTGCCCTATCAGCCACTGTGCTGCCTGCCGGCCCTCTTCTCCTACCCCACAGTCTACCATGTCTCACATGGGAGCTGCCCATGCCACAGGTTAGTCTAGAGCGGGGGGGAGGCTATGTTAACTGTGCTTTTTGGGGGGTACAAGCAAATTAGCTACTCATGTCCCTATGTTCTTCACCTGCATATGAAAAAATCCAGCAGAGAAATGCAAGCATCAGCGAAGGAAGATCAAGATCTTCTCTTTGGTGGGGTTGATGGCTTGAAAAATGGTATTTAGAGATTTGTTTTGGGGGGATCGGCTTGTAGGTAAATACATATGTATTAGAATAATGGGTCAGGACTGCAGCACTTGATTTCTAAAGGTATTGTTCATGGCAAGATTCAGATAAACAGGCTACTGTTTTCTGATTAATCATAGGCCACGTATCAAATCATTGAGGCAATTATGGAAGGAACCATGCAGCCTTCTGAGGGACAATCCACAGTCGCAAACAGGATGAGGAACGGATATGAGCAGGTGACTTGGCGTGGGGGCAACTCAGCAAGACAAAGCCTTAAGCCCTGAACGGTCCCTGCGGAGCTCTAGATGCATCATCACTTTGGCTGTAGGAGGATGCTGGCTTTGGACCAAGTGCTGAGGCAGGGTGGGATTACATTTCAATTAACTCCAGCTAGGCGCTTAAAGACTGACAGGTGAAAAGCCTTAAGCAGATTACAGGGGACAGTAATAAGAACATCCATTACTTTCTGACACATTCCTCCACCTCCTCCATGATCTGAGCTTGCCCAGCGTGCCAGGGCGGCCCCGATTTGGGGTTCTTCTCTCAACCGATCGAATGCAGATCCGGCGCAACGTTTGGCTCTGATCAGAGCCCAGAGGCCAGGGGTAGCTGGGCTGTCAGCTCCCTCACTGTTACAAACAGAGGAGAAATACCACAGTCCAGCTTATGCAAAGGAACGTGCATTTGCTCTCCCAAGGCTTCAGTGAGATGAGTTGAACTGGGGACTGAACCAGCATGGTTGAGGTTGCCCTGCTTGCTGACTAGCTTGGCCTTCCTCCCAGGCTGGATCCTCTAGCTGGTTGAATCCTTGTGCACAGCTCTCTCCAAAAGGTACCACCTCTCCTCCCGAGTTTCCCTACCTGGATAGGTAGCTCTTGCGCCACTTTACCATGTAACAACTGAGGTGCCCCGCCAAACCCACCCACC